GGCTCTTCTGCGGGGTCTCCTCCTGCCCTGCCCCAGGGACCCCAGCTTCAGTGCTTTGCCTGGGTGGGTGGGGTGGCTGCAGCCTTACCCTGCACGTCCTGGCTGTTCCTGAACCTGCTGCTTGTTCCCCAACCCAGGTTCCAGCCACCTTAATCCTTCAGTCCCTTCTCTTTGCAGCCTCAGCCCTGATCCCTGCAGAGACCTCCAGCGGACCTGAACCCGGAGCCACCCATTCTGTTGTAATTTAAATGGCCACGTCCCCACCTCTCTCTCTGACGCTGTATATAGCCCAGCAAGGCCCCACGCAGAGCCAAGCCCTTCTACTTTTGTAAATAAAGTCCCTGGACCACGGCGTGTCACCTCTGAACTCTGTGTGCCCTGCTCGCCCAGTGACTCTGGGTGGGAGGTGGGCAGGAGAGTGGTATTTGTGTCATGTAAAAGCTGGGCCTTCACAGTCAGGCAGACCTGGTTCTGGACTCTGCTTCGCACGTGGGCGTGTGGCAGTGGGCAAGGCTCAGGTCTCTTCTTTAAAATGGAGGCTGGGTTGGGCGGTTAGTCAGTTGGTTAGAGTGCAGCCTCATCAAGGTCACGGGTTCAGGTCCCAGAGCCAGCCAGCCACAAAGTAAATAGATAAAGAAAATAAAAAGAAAATAAAAAGAAAACAGAGGCTGATCATAAGAGCCTGGCTGTGAAGATCACTGAGGCAGTGGGTGATAGCAGTGGCAGCAAGACTTCATTACACCTGCCAGGTGCTCGTGACAAGAGACGACACGTGTCAATTCAGTCTAGGTTACTTTGTCATTCCCACGTTATGGCGGAGAAAACTGAGGCACAGAGGGATTAAGTAACCTGCTCAAGGTCACAGGCCTCTTGAGCAGTGAAGCTAAGACTTGAACCCAGGCTGTCTGGCCCCCGATTCCACACTTCTTACCCTGGAGATGAAGCCGGGGTCACCTCATAGGGGACACGACCACACACCCCTGATGCTGACTTCCACATCCAAGAACTAAGCAGAATAACAGGGGACAGGCAGGACAGACCCAATGCCAGCCCCCCGTCTCCCCCATCTGGGCGGGGATGGGCACGTGGCTCCTGCTTGACCAGGCGCCCCCCCGCTGGGCCTGCTGGGCAGAGCTTGTAGAGCTGGAGACCCAAATATTGTTTTATTTTTTGTCCCCGCTTCCTTCCCCTGTGTCCAGCATGTGGCTCCTTTATTTAAAGCACTATTCTCCCAGGGGGAGTCGAGCTGGTGTGAGTCCAATTTCAGGAAGAACCGGCTCCCACCGCTGCAGAGGCTCGGGAGAGGGGAGCGGGCCTGGAGCCCACAGGCTGGGTGTTCATGTATTCAGCAAATGCCGTGTCCACAGTGTCACTGGACTAGTGCTGCGGGCAATGGTGACCAGACAGTCCCTGTCCTCATGGAACTCAGGACTGGTCAGGGACACAGATCCAGAATCAGTCCGCAAACACACGATAACTACAGACAGGTATTAAAAACGATGCAAACAAAGGCAGCGAGAGACCAGCTCGGATTGAGCAACACAACAGCTCCCGGAGCTACGGCCTCCAGGGGCTGGGGGTGGGGCAGTTACCTCAGGGCCCCTCTCCCAGCAACGCCCTTTCCATCCAAGCCCAGGCAGCACAAAAGAAAAGCGCGTTCCACCCCCTCTAACCGCCCTGGGCTAAATGCCCGAGGGTTGGAACTTGGACCCAAGGAGGATTGTGCTCCGAGGGGGTCGGGCAGCTCTGCCCTGGAGAGCTCCAGACGCGCCTTCCTGCAGGACCGACAAGGGGGCTGATGCTCTTGGCCAGCTGGGGCCTCTCAGCAGGGCAGGCACCCTTGGCACACTAGGGTCAGGCCTGGGAGGCACCCTGCTGGGACCTGCCTGTCCTCCACCCTGCTGGGAGGACTGGCAGGGCCTCCTTCCCCCCTTTCCCTCACAGGATGCCCAGCACAGAGCAGGTCCTGGGCAGGGGCACAGCCCAACCCCTGCTGAGCTGACCCCTTGCTGACCTTGGGGATCTCTGGCCCTCCAGCTCTGGCTGTGGTCAGGATCTGAGGCCTCAGAGGAAGGGGCTAGGCCTGGGGGCAGGGGCCCCTGAGGGGACGGGGCCCAAGGACAACCCCGCCCTTTGTTTCTCTGAAAGGGTAGGTGGGAGTAAAGAGGCCACCAGGAAAGGGTGAGAGGCCTAGTGGGGTGGCCAGGCCTCAGAGGAGGTGCCCATGGCTGGCGCTGGGAGGGAAGGGGTTAAGCTGGTGGGGGGGGCAGCCTATGGCAGGAGGACACACCTGTGCGCAGGGCGGCAGGCGGGGCCCAGGTGAGGAGCCTGCACTGCCGGGCAGGCGGAGAAGGAAGGAGGAAAAGCGAAGGCCAGAGCGGGCTCTAGGCCGTTGAATCTGGGGCCTTGATGCCCCTTCCTCTCCTCGGCACCCACTGTCTGGGGGGCAGGCGGCCCGGTGACAGGTAAAGGCCACTGGGCAACGGGTCCTGGGGCTGAATTAGGGACTGCAGAGGGTGGATGAGGGCCAGCGAATTGGTGTGTTTGGGGCAGGGACAGGTTGTGGGGGTGGCGGGGGAAGGGGCTCAGAGGTGGAGACCAGGTGGGCCAGGGTCTGCTGAAGCCCTGCTCAGGTCTCAGCAGATCAGCGACTCAGGGTGGGGCTGGTGGCGGGCAGCAGGGCTCACCCGGAAGTGTCCCCAGGGACGCAGGTGTTGGGGGGATGGGAACCAGGGATCTGCGGCTTGTCTGCAGGGAGCCTGGGGCTGGCCCTGTCTGACCTGGAGGTGGGCAGGCTGGGTGGGGGTCCTCGTCTTACCCTGCAGTGTTTGGGTGCTGGTTGGGACTCTAATACTGCCGGGTAATGATGGAGGCCCCCATCCCCGCATCAGCGACATCCATCACCTCAGGCCCTTAGTTCCCAGCTGGCTGCAAGCCCCTCCAACCTCCCCCACACCCTGGAGGCCCCTGGTCTTGAGCTGAAGGTGCTGCAGAGGAGGTGGCTCTCGGCTGGTTGCCCACTGAAGGAACACAATGGCCCCGAGCCCCTCCTTCAACCCAGTGCGATTTGTCATCTGGTGGATGCAGAACCCACAGCCGACCTTGAGTTTGGGATTGGCTCAGCTTGTACACTCTCAGGAGATCTCATCTGGCCTGCGGCCAGGGTCCTGTAGCAACCGGTCAGCTCTAGCCTGGAGTTCCATGTTGGCTGGCTCTGGGTCCATCTTCCAGTACAGTGTTGGGTGGTCTAATTGCAAAGCTCCTAACACTGTCTGGTAAAGATGGCCCCCGGGTCGGTTCCCTCGGCGATGACCTTCAGCGAGCCTTGAAGACCATGGAGGCCTCCTGACCAACAACCTCTGACCTTTACCCTCCGGATGGGGGGTGAATCACTAGGAAAAGGGGAACAATGGAAAGGAGACAAAATGGCTGCCTCTAAGCCACAGCAAGACTTGGAGACGTTTGTTCCCCAGGCGCCTCCATTGTCTTCCCAGCTTGGGAACATGAAAGAAATAAAGTGTGAATAGGAACGCGTGTTAGGTTGCTCCGGGTCACTGGGCCTGTCTTTTACTTGACCTCATCTCAGGCTCCCAGCAACCCAGGACTGGGGCTGCCACATGCGTCTCCCTCCCTCTCCGTTTCATGATATTCCATCTGCAGAACAGGGAAAAATGAATCTACTTTCTTAAAAATCTAAGATTAACCCAGTCCCTCCAAGCTGTTATGATTCACGTCCTCCCTCCGGTGTTTTGTAATTCCTGTACATCCTTTTGCCCCCAGTGTTTTGTCTTTGGGTTCCACATGTTCCTTGCCTCCCCATGAGGACAAGGGATGGAACACGTGGGCTGAAGTGGGATTCAGGTGAAAGCAGTTGTTTCCTTTTTCTGGTGCCTGAGGTTCAGAGAGGGCTATCTTGGGAAGGATATGAGGTGGCTTATCTACTGACTGAAAACAGGCACCTGTTCCGTGGGAGCCCCAGCGCTGTGGGAGTGAAAAGCTCACCTCCATAGGTAGAGCCCTTTTATGCAAATAGCTCCTTACACTTGGTGACTAAGAAATGGAACCTATGGGTAGCCCACAGCAGGCAACGCAACCCACTGGGCTTCTGAACACTAAAGTCCCTCAACAAGCACACATGGTTTCTCCCACAGCTACACAGAACCCTGTCACCAAGGAAGCAACTCTCATTGGGGTCATCAGATTTTTAGTCTGGCTCAGCAAAGCCACAGCTGCTCCAACCTTATAAAGGAGATGTTGGGGGCTGGCCCGGTGGCGCAATGCTACAGTGCACCGCTTGGGAGCGCGGTGGCGCTCCCGCCGAGGGTTCGGATCCCACATACAGACCGGTTCCCGCTCACTGGCTGAGCGAGGCGTGGGAGCAACACCGAGGGTTGCGATCCTGTTGCCGGTCCCGGTCCGGTACGGGCGCGACACTGAGGGTTGCGATCCGTTGCCGGACACGAAAAAAGACAAAAAAAAAGGAGATGTTGTAAACAGGGTGATGTGGTAGAAACGGAGGGTGGGGTAAAGAGTGCAGCTGGGCCTATGGACCCCAGCTTAGGTCCTGTTTTTTTTTTTTTTGCCTTTTGTCTTTTTCCATGTCTGGCAACGGATCGCAACCCTCAGTGTTGCCCCCGTACCGGACTGGGGACCGGCAACAGGATTGCAACCCTTGGCGTTGCCCCCGCGCCTCACTCAGCCAGTGAGTGGGAACCGGTCTGTATGTGGGATCCGAACCCTCGGGCGGGAGCGCCGCCGCGCTTCCCAAGCGGCGCACTTATCCAGTGCGCCACCGGGCCGGCCCTTAGGTCCTGTTTTGGAACCAACTCTGCTGGGCTTTGAGGGTGAGAGAAGCACGTCCAGGCCCTGCTCTGCCTTAGCTGCCCTAGCCGGAACCCTTGCGCCCTCTGCTGGCAGATGCGCAGACCGACCACCGGTGCGTATGTGACCGTGCGCATGCGTGCTTCCTGTACCCAAGCTCGGACACATGAAGCCTTGACTTCAGCTTAGTAATAAAAATTTATTAATTTCTGGGATGGTGGTTATCCCCCCCAACCTTGCGGGAGGGAACGACACTGTAGGAAATCACTGAGAAAACACCCCTTGCCACTACAGGAGGAGGAAAGTCATTCCCCTGAAAAAGGTCTGGTCTTCAGTCTTCCTTAATCCAGGGGGTGGAGGATGGGTACAGAGGGGATCATCATATGATACTGGGGGTGGGATGGGGGTATGGTGGACCCTAGCTGGCTCCTCAAAAAGTGGAGAAGAAACAGATCCACATCTTCTCTGGGGGTGGAGTTCTGGTTGCCAGGCTCATTTCTTACCCTTGATGAGGCTGTCACTATGGAAAAAAAGGGACAGATAGATGACATCAGGAGACATAAATGTGAGATGCAGACACCCCAGGCCATTCCATCCTCAACTACCCTCCTCCTCTGACTGGAGGTTTATCTTTTTTTTTTTTTTTCCTTTTTGTCTTTTTTCG